GGCTAGAATAGAAATAGTCTTGTTTGTCACTGACCCTTGGTCTGCAGCGTGATGCCTCCTGCTTCCTGACAAAGGGGAGGCTGCAACAGGTCTGGGTACACTGCTGCTACAGGAGGCAGGACCAGAGCATGTTCACCGCTGCTCCATGAAGTGGGCACTGAAGCGTTCTTTGGGCTGCAACAGTGCTGAAGCCAGCGGGGTCCTGCCTGCTGCTGCAGTTAAGCTGTTGTGCTCATAAGCATATGCAGATATCTGACTTGTATGTTGTTACTGTGACAGCCTACCCGTAACAGGAATGTACATACATGTGCAGATAGCCAATGAAGTAGGAAATCTGCCCCTAAGTGGGGACATGTACCTGACTTAAATGTGCCTTTACATGATATGCCAGCAGCACAGAAGAACACTTGAAAAGCAACTGTCCTTACAGGCTTATTGTTACAGCTTTCCTAAAGACACTCCAGATTTGCAAGATTAAGTCCCTATTTTGAATCCACATGCCTGCATTGCACATTCTCGGTTTTGAATTTAGCATGGTCTTAAGACATGAAGAAGTTAGAGGTGAGTTTAAAATCTGTTTCCAGGTTTCTCTGCCGCTGGAAGCTGACTTTGTATTCACGTGGCTAGTTGCCAATGCTCAGATCGGCTCAATTTTCTGTTTCTCTCTAGGTCTTGCAAAATATCCTGGAAACAGAACGAGACTATGCTAAGGAGCTCCAGTCACTTCTTGGAACATACTTGAGACCCCTCCAGTCCTATGACAAGTAAGGTCCAAGTCCAGCTACAGGGACCGAACACTGGAACTTTTAACACACTTTGTTACGTTTTCACTTGTGAACACGTAGGGATAGTTTCAGCTCTTTAGAAGTCTTTGTGCAACATTTCATAAGTTCTCTGTGTGCTCAGGAGAACCAAGCTTCTGGCAGATCCTGCCCTTTCATTTTCCCCAAATTTTTGTTCAGACCCGTGATGACGAAGGGTTCTAGCTTGGGCACAATCTCTGTTTTAACCAATCCAGAAACTCAGCTATAGAATGCTTCATGCTCATTTATTCCCTTTCAATGCTCCTTCTTTTGGCTTTTCACCATCAGCTGGGAACTCCTAGTCATCTCTTCCCCAGACATGATCTCCTCACCAGGCTACAATCTAAGAAATGCATTAACCGTGGTTGGCTTGGCTTTTGCTGATTCTGAACTTGTGAGCTAGAAAAGACCGACCCAACATCTCTACGGTGATTTGCTTGAAGTATTTTCTTGTTTTACCTGAAACAATACTCTGCAGTCATGTGCAGCCAAAGAGAAGTCTGGAAGGTCCTTGTCAGCTGCAGAAGTAAGCCAGTAGGTTTTCATCCTAGGAAGAGCTGATGGGGAATAAAGTTCAGAGTCGATAAGTTTGAAGGCACACTCTTAGGATTTTGAAAAGCCTTTGTTTGTGGCTTGTCCAAACAGTGGTACACACAGATAGCTCTATGCTGTCTGCACATCAATAGACTTCTTGTGCTCCAGCACCGTTCGCTTGATCTTATGCTTCCTGCCTTGGTTTTGCAGTCGTCTGTTCCAGAGAGCAACATTGAAATCAGCACAAAAGCTTGGATAATTCCACTTAGCGGAGTACCTCCGTCCTGCCTCCTCTGGTGAGGTTGTGCAGTTGTGAACAAGGAGGTAGTGGATCACTGCTGGCCTGTAGTGTGAGAAAGATGGTGAAATCCCAGTGGGTCACAAGCACCGAGGTCAACTGCTTAGACTTCCTTTTTTTCCAGTTCGGAGAGTTTTGAGGGCAGAATCTCAAGCCCTTTGTGAGAGAGGATTTCCTCTTTTTTTTCCTCAAGTATCTCCTAAACTTCCCCACAGCAGCCTGACTTCCTCAAACCTTTAGAAGAATCTGAGATGATGTATTTGGCTGTGACCAGGTCCTGGGATGCCATGGCTGATCTCCCTTGAAAAGCCATGGTACCTCCATGATACCCCATGGCTTTTGATGGTGTCATTCTTATCCCAGAGTCCAGGCAGGCAGCCCTGAGTGAGATTTTTCTCACATTATTCTCATGTTGTATCAAATGTGGCAAGTAGTCTGATATGCTTGCAGGACTGTAAAGGGTACCAAGAGGAATGAGGCTGAAACGAGTGAGGGAGCAAAGGTGATGAAGGGGCGAAGACTGGCAGAAGACCAAGGGTACTTACATTTGACTGTTGTTAGTAGCACAGCAGGTTCCAGTGGCCATACTGAAGTCAGGTCCTGTTTGTGCCATGCCTGGTATGCATGTATTAAAAGACAGTCCATCCCCTGAAGAGGCTGCCATCTCTGGCTCTGCTTCTGCAAGGAGAGCTACAACCCAGGGCAAGCCTGCTACAGTTCAGAGCACATAGCTGCGCCGGCCTCCTCCCTACCCCCAGAAGGAATCCTGTCATTTAGGACAATTTAGCAATCTGAGATGATTCATGTGATTAAGTGATTAAAATCCAATTTGGGATAATTCCTGCGAGCAAATGTTTTCTCTGGGATGTTTTAATTGGATTTGCAAACTGTGAATTTTTGTACTTCATTACGTTAATGAGTTTGCCTGTTGGAACCAATACTTTAGATTGTCTGCACCCCTGAAAAGGTTATTTGCAGAGCTTGTTTTACAGAGACAGCACCATTTGTTATGAATGGTGGTGAAGCACCTCACTAGCATTCTTCATTATCTTAATTCTTTCAGGCTCAGTGCTGCAGATACCGCATCCTTACTGGGAAATGTTGAGGAGATCTGCACGTTTCAGCAAACACTGAATCAAGCCTTGGAAGAATGTGCAAAGTAAGCTTCCACTGTTGCAATGGAGGGTGATAAATCATTAACTTGCCTCTTTACTAACTTTTTTCTTACTGCGTGATTGCTGTGTGGACTACTCGCATCTGAGGAAGGTGGCATCTCGCTTTTGCTGATGGTGCAGGCAGGATCTCAAAGTGAAATGTGGCTTCCTAGTAGCTGTGGGAGGCTGAGCCTCGGGGTAGTCTTTGGCAGCAGGGGGAGGAGTGGAAAGCTTGCTATCTTGTGGGGAATTTGGTCCCCTTCTGAGGGCGTGCTCTAGTTCAGCTTGCAGAAGAGTCTAGCATTTGTCTGTACGAACGAGGTCAGGCTGGGCCATTGTGACAATCCTTTCTGGGATCTGTTTCCTTCTCTCATTCATCCTTCTTCCTCTTGAACTCCCAGTTTAACTACAGTGTTTGCTGAGCTTGCAGTTAATTAATTGGTTCACACTTCAGGGCTTCTACTGGCTGCCTGGAGGGACCAGGAAATAATTTTTTGACCCCCTTGAACACAACTTAACTTCTGTTATTTTTCCCTCCACTTTCCTCGGAAGCATCAGTGATTGACTTGGTGTCCTGGTGCTCCAGGTGGGACTGTGAAACCTCCCGGGGTGCCTGGCTGGGCAGGGGGTCCTGATCACACCGAGGAGTCAGGAAGAAATTTTCCACCAGGTCAGATTGGCAGAGGCTGTTGCAGGACAGAGGGGGAATTTCCCTTCCTCTGTAGGATGGGGCATGGTCCAGTTCCTAGGATTATCTAGGTATGTTTTACCTAACAAACTCCCTGCCACTGCAGTGACCTTGGCATTGGAGTACCCTTGGTGTCTTCTGCTTTCTTCCTTTGACACAGGGTAATTTTTGAGGCATTTGATTTTTGTATGAAAGACCCCAGCTTGTATGAGGAACTAGGATGTGTTTTGTGGCTCTGATATGTAAGAGAGGCCAACTGGATGTTCTTATGGACCTGTTTGGACCATGTCTATGACATGGCTCCCTGCAATTGCAAGGGCCAGTGACCCTGGTGCTCTCTATCAGTCCTACAATTCCAAGCTAGTGCCATAAACTTGCTTCAAGAGAAGGTCAGTGGTTTGGGGGCCAGGAAAGGTAACAGAAATAGCAATGTATCTGCCCAGCTGCAGAGAAATAAAACTAAATGGGAAACTAAAAACAATATTTGCGGGTTTTCAAGGGGACCTATGAAAGACAGTGCCCAAATCCCAACATGAAGCCAGTAGGATTTTGATGTCCAATTCTCTTGGGTGCCTTAAAGCTCAACCTACACCCTTTGCATCCATCCCAAATGCTCCTGTAGGTGATGTGAGTGGTGCAGAGCCAGGACTCAAACTGGGAGGAATGGATTCCCTCACTGGTAAAGACAGAAAAAAGTAGGAAAAAGGCAACAAACAGAGGGAGGCAGAAGTTGGAAGCTGGAAAAAGTACTGAGTCCTTTTGGGCTCCAGCTCTCCTTTCCTTTCCCCCCTCTCTCTCTTACTTCCTACTCGAGTCCTGCATAGAGCTGGTGCAAGAGCCATACAGATCAGGTGCTCTGTTGTCCCAGGCTGCCATGTGCTTTCCAAAGCACCAGGCAAGAGGACTGCAGAGCTGGATCCCACACTTAGCTGTGCAGTTAAGCGATCCAAAGGCTACATGCAAGTGTCATCTCAGCTAATGAGCATGTGCACAGCTAAGGTGGCTTAAAACATCCCAGCAAAACTGCTGAGTTGTAGCCAGCACCCGTGGACCAGTGTGTTTGGTGTGGGTGGGACAGGCACCATGCAAAGTTGGGTTTGGACCACATCCAGCACTGATTGCAGGTTACGATGCAGCGTTGCCAGTCCACTGCTACTCTGTCATGTCTGAGGACCTGTCTTGTTACCTCATCTCTAAATAACAGGCTCTGAAAACGTTCCTGTTTATGTTTACAGGCTTCCTGAAAACCAGCAGAGAGTGGGAGGCTGTTTTATGCACTTGATGCCACAGTTCAGAGCTCTGTACCTCACATACTGTGCTAACCACCCTTCTGCTGTCAACGTCCTCACGCAACACAGGCGAGTAACATTTTGTGATGAGGGAGGAAGTCATTCCCTTTCCAATTTAAGTTGAAGTTCAGTGGGAGTCCTCAACTGGGATCTCGGCAATGGTGTCCAGGGCTGCCCATGGTCTTTGGAAGGTTCTGGGAACACTTCTGACACTGGGAGATGGGGGAGACTCTGGGATGGCTCTGGCTGGCTTCCCTGCCTGCCACCCAGGGACAGCCGCTCATGGAGGGATTGTGGTGAGTGGTCAGTCAAGCAGTTAGGGAGATGAGAGCTCTCCGCTGGCTTCGTGGGGCAACCCTCTGCAAGTGCAGAAGACCCCATTAACCCCTGTCCAGATCTTATGGACGTCTACCCACCTATACACGCTCACTCACAAGGGTCCCGGTCCTGTGAGATTCCAGATATATCTCCTTACATTGATTTAACTGAAATGCTCACCACCTTCCAGGACCAGGCGTGTAGTGTAGGAAGGGAGGTACAAGCAGTTGCTTTGGAAAAGACGGCATCTATTGCTGTAACAGAGCAGTTGTCCTACAGAATGACTGCTCGGCTTGCTCTGTAAAGTATTGCAGAGATCATGGCAATGGCCTCCTTCAGGGTGCGTCTCCTGAACGAGCTGTAGCTGTAGGGCACATGGGAGAGCTGTGGAGACTGCCCGCTTCACTCACGTGAAAGCTGCTCCCTCCGCTCTGCTGTGTAATCCTGGTATGTTTGTAATGGGAAGCCAGCAAAGTGCTCATCTCCTGAAGTGTGGTTTTAATTTAACCTGATGAAAATTGGGGCTTTTGTAAATGACTCTGTCTTTCACCTCATTAGCCAGAGCCCTTTTAAAACTATTTTAGCGACGTGCTGATTGCATCTCAAAGTGCGCTTCCCAGAGCATTAAAAACCAAAGCTGCACAAGCGTTGCATGTTCTCTAAATACAGAAACCTCCTTCTCCCCCCAGTGTGCTATTCAGCAAGGTGATTAAGAGGCCCATTTACCAAACTCCAGGAGAGCGCACCAGCCAGCTGCTGGCCTCAGAGATAGACAGAGCCGCAGCACAACTGGGCTTGCTGTCCCACTGCAGCTCATAAGAACAGACCCCAGGTGCCACATCATGTGAGCAGATACTGCTGCTTATTATTGGGCCTGCTGTTATCTGGGCCCTACCAGGGAGGAGAGTACTAGGATCTCTCTCCATGGCAGTCAGGACTCATAGTACCGATGATGTCGTTTATTGTAGTAGAGATGATATCTCCATGGCAGGTATCTCATACAGGGGCCAGCCACAGTAGGGAAGCAGCATGGGCACCACTTCCACTGCCTCCCTGCAGTGCCTCTAGGGCTCATATCACTCTTGAAGGCCTTAGATCCCTCCCTCTGCAAAACAGGCTGTAGAGCTAACCAAGTGCACCAGCCAGGGAGCTGGCTACTTCTTCCCGCCTTGCAACTGCCCTGCCCAGCCCAGACAAACCCGCAGTGCTCCAGAGATTCCTGAGGCACAGTCATCTTCAGGAGCTTGCTAGAGAGTTATGTCCTAGCTCTGTTGCAAAAGCCAGGCTGAGTCTCTGGCCCACCCTGTGTCCAGCAACTGGCGGATCTGGGAGAAGCTGGAGTTCTGTGGGAACAGAGTGCAGCTCAGATGCAAGCCGGAGTCGTGGCAGGAGCGTGGGAGTGAGTGACACACAGCCCTGAGCGGCTGGTGAAGTCTGCTGCTTGTTGTTGTCTCTATTTATAGCGATGAACTGGAGAAGTTTATGGAGAACCAGGGCGCACCCAACCCAGGGATTCTGATTTTGACCACAAGCCTCAGCAAGCCATTTGTGAGGCTGGATAAATACGTTACCGTTCTCCAGGAGCTGGAACGGCACATGGAGGTATGTGAGACATGGGCCAGCCAGGCCCTGTGCACCCAGAACTGTGCTGCTAGGCCGGGGAACGTAGAATAGTTGGGCCCTTGAACCTCTTCTGTCTGGACACTGGCAGCCCAATTTCTGTGTCTCTGAATACTTCATATATTCTTTGTCGTGCACCCTGGTGAGTTAGGGGATCATTATGATGCCCGTGTGTCAGCTGCCTGCCCCGTAGGTGGGAAGGCATTGAAGAGCTACCAGCCCATGAGTGACTCTTGCCTGAGTCCTTGGTGCAAAGTTGGGTTGCAGCCTGAGTTGCAGCTGAGCTCGGGTTGTAACATGCATCTCCAGCTGGGCAGCCAGCTGGAGCACAGGGACCTGTGAGTCCAGGCCAGAAGTTTCTGTGTAAGAGTATGGCAGGGAGTGGGGAGAGAGATAGAGCCCAGGTTAATTTGCAGTGCATGATTTAACGATTCTGCTTTTGATGTACTTCAGATGTGAGGCAAGAGCAGTCTAGATCACAGCCCCTGCTCTGTAGCCCAAGTGGAGATTTAATACATCAGCTGTTCCTTCCCCTCAGACAGCTGAAGTGCCCCCCTCCAGCTGCCTCCTGCTTCCTGCAAGACCTTGCAACAGAGGGAGGATGCTGTGGCAAGGAGGGTGGCAGCTTCCCACAAGCCTGCAGGGGAGGGCAGCAGCTTTTTCATCACCCTGCTTTGAGGGGGCTAGTCCTGAGGTTAATAGTTGCCTTCCCTGGGTCCCTCTCTCGCATCCTAGATGGTGAAGAAAGGATGCTTTGATTGTAGTTGTTACTCATGGCCACCAGGGGTCACTGCTCCCAGTATCACATCCAAGGCTATATCTGACTTCTCCCACTTGCGCTGCTTGCTGGCAGGGACTGCGGGGGTGCATGTGCACCTTGCAGCATCCCAGCTCCAGGCTGCAGGCCTCTTCTCAGGAGACCTTCCCCATGTGGGGTGGGGAGGGTTCTGCCAGCTATGCACCACTGCTGCTGTCCTATGTGGTGCAGCACTGTGTGGGTCCATAAAATGCTAGGAGCTTTGCTGCAGTTTTGCAGCATCCTACATATCAAGTTGCAGCAAAGGAAATTTAGGTTAGATATTAGGACAACTTTCTCCCTAGGAGAGGGTAGTAAAGCATTGGAAGAGGCTGCCCAGAGAGGTGGAATCTCCATTCTCAGAGATGTTTAAGACCCAGCTAGACAAAGCCTTGGCTGGGATGATGTAGTTGATGCTGGTCCTGCTTGGAGCAGGGGGTTTGACTAGATGTGACTTCCTGAGGTCCCTTCCCACCCTCATTGTCTGTGATTCTATGTGGCCCAGAGCATAGGAGCTGGTAGAAGCTGGGTCCTGCTCACTGTGAAATCTGGCGTCTGAGAAAGGCCAAAACCACACCTGGCTCTGAAGGCCCGCTAAGATATGCATCAGTGTGTTTGTCTAGCTCTGCATTCCCCGCAAGTCCACTTGGAAAACCATCCTCAGCAAAAACCAGCAGGTGTTGTCAGAAGTAGAGGGGCAAGGGGCTATGTCTTAGTCAGGACTCTGGGGGCAGATTAACTCCCAGGGAGGTCACATGTTATACAGACTTAATATCCAAAATTCAGCTCTCTACGTGGGCACCTGGATGTTTGTTTACGGGAGGAAAACACCCTAAAACCATCCCAAAGCACCCGAACGGGGTGGTATTCCTAGTACAGGGGGCTGGGCTAAAGACAGCAAAAGAGAAATACTCCCCTAATCTCTGCTATCTGCTACCCATATCCCTCTCACAGCTGTTGTGGCCAGTCCCCTAACCACAGTGAGAAGAGCAGTGGGGATCAGTCATATGTGGGTCAGCTGTCTTTGCTGACTTCTATATGGTGAATGCGGTGGTGAGGCTTTAAATAAGACTCATCTTCAGTGAGCATGTATGGTTGAAGTTATGGGCGAGTGTGGGTTTCTGGAGAGTGGGCACTGAGCAGTGGGGCTTTGCCCAGCAGGGTCTCCTGCACAGCAACACAACAGGGGTTAAAGCATGGTCAATGCTGCTCACTTCTGGGAGGGATGGATGACTTCAAAACTCTGGGATAAAACCTCCAGCGATATAAGTTATGGTGGTTTAGATGTTAACTGTCCATGTTCATTCCAAAGTGGCTATTTTGCTAACACCAAATAGGCTATTAACTACCACCTGGTGGTGAGGTGCATTAATAGCCACTTAATCATATAGCATCCCTAGAATAGTTGTGTCTGCCCGTGCTGGATTCCAATGTAACATGCGTTGGTATACAAAACTGGGGTATATAGTTGCATATACAGGGTTCTGGTTGCTTAAATAGCCTTAGGCTGAACAGAACAAGAGCAGAATAAAGATTAGACTCAGTTGTGTTTGATGGCATGTCTTCCTGACCCATGCTGCCTCTGTCCTGGGTTGAATCATTACGACCCAACTCCGTGCAGCCAGTGAGAATCTCTGTCATTTTTAGATCACAGCAGTAATGGAAGAATTCTGCACTTCCAAATGCTGCTGCAGTTCATGACTAACTCGGTGATTTCTACTTTCACTAGGAGGCGCATCCAGATCACGAAGAGGTTTTGAAAACAGTCACATCCTTCAAGTCTCTTGTGGTAGGTGGCGATTCTCAAAATAGAGTGCTCCATTTCTGTGCTGCGTTTCACAAAGAGTGAGTCAAGCCTGACATTTGTCTCCTTGTGCAAAGGTCTTTTGGAGTGGAAAACATGGGTTATGAAGATTTTTATTTTAAGTTCCAAGCCTGGCTTGCCCCCATCTGGTAGCATGTTCCAATGGCTGTGTGTGGCTCTCAAGACTTTGTGATCCCTGCAGTATCATAACTTAACTATATTAAGTAACTCTTATTTTAGTGGCATGCCACCTAAGGAAGCCATGTGTGGGTGGGGGGTTTCTTTCATCTCCTTTACTTTTATACAGTTACGTATATGAAGAGCAACTCAGGTACAATACATTACTCATTAAAATGAACTATGAAAGGTTAAATGCTTGCATTTGACTCCTCTGCCAGTGCTAACAGAGAGACGTGTTTGAATGGGAGTCTTTCCAGTGGCCTTTGGCTCAGACTCTGATACTTCACAATATTTATAACACTGTAAAAATGGCAATGAGTAGAGAAGCTACTAAACTGCTATCTGTGGATCTCTTATCTGTGCAATCAACAATAATCTGTTTGTTGCAGATGCAGTAGCAAACATTTTGATTAATTGTTTTCAATTACTCATATCCTTTAGAACCCTTTTGCAACAAGAGAAGGGGGGAAAAAACCTTCCATGCAGTGACTGTTTAACAGGGGGAAGGTTTATTACTCAGTTCTGAAGAAAGTTATGTTCTGTCTCTCTTCAGCTACTGAATACCTTTTGCTATAATCACTCCAGGTGTGGTCCAGCTTCCTTCCTTAACACAGGAGCTGTTAACTTTTAGTGCTTAACGGTGCAGTTGAAAGGCTGAGGAAGAAGAAAGTTCATAGAAAACAGGAAAGGGAGATGGTGTTACGTTTACTTAGAAACTCATCTCAGTTTGTATTCACTCTGGTAGATAATTCAGGAATATTCAGTTAAACCAGTTGCAAAGTGGCATGAATCTTTAGAACTGCTGCTAGCTGATGGAGATCAATAGTTGAGCTGCTTCTGTATTTGATCAAGTCCAGTATCCTGTATCTCAGGCCAGGGTCTTATTGATCAATATAATGTAATTCCTGTATGCCTGAGGTGGTTCACTGTGCAATTGAAATTAGATGGTCAAAGAAGTAAATTGTGTCATCAGACATGCATGTTTAACTTCATGGTGCTGGGATCAGTAAAGCAGATGCTTCCAACCATGCAGCATGGACCTCAGAAAGCAATGCAAATGTTAACTGTAGCTTCCAAATAGTAGAAGAGCTATGTGATGCACAATGGTTTCATTTACAGAGACTGCAACAAATATAAGGAGGCGCTACATGTGCTAGCTCCAGAGACCCAGAACCATAGGACATTTAGAATAAAATTTGCCACCCAAAAAGAAACTGCTGTGCTCTGCTTTAAAAACAGGGCATGTACCCGGGGTACAGCCAAAATGGCCTCCTCTCTAGCCACAGTGTCATGGTGTTTGAACGGCCTGTACAGAACTGGACCAAATCCTGAATTCTAAACAGAGTAATAACTGGGCGCATCTACACGTGCTCCCGACTGTGCAGTTGATACTGTGCAGTCATTTAGTACTTGTTTTAAGTAGTATAAACACACCCATTGAATAAGATATCAGTCCAGCAGGAGGCCCAAATTGAGGTTTGGCACTCTAGCGTTTTTCCTGTGCTTCAACTGAATTTGAATCCAGTTCCTAGTGAGCTTTTAGGGCAATAACCAGTAGTCCTTGCTCTCATAGCACCCCCAGTAACTTGCAGGGAAATTTGTCTGTGTAAATACTAAAGAGAGACTTCAGGACTCAAGGCTTGATCCAAATCCTATGCCACGGTGCCTCTCTTCTTTTCCCTAGTTCCATTTTTGAATGGGCCTTGTTAAAGACACAGCACTTTGATAATTTACAAACCTAGCAGAATAAAACAAATTTTAGACATTTTGCTTGTGTGAATTTAATGACAATCTTGCCTAACTGTACAAAAGTGAATAATGCTATTGATCTTCTTGCTGAATTCTCCAGTTGTGGCCTGTTCTCTACTGGGATAAAAACTGAACAGCTAGAGCGAAATTTTTCTTCTGATGTGTTCATGATTTAACTATAGCCAACAAACTGATAAGAGCATTGCCAGAAAGCTTTCTTAGCTAGGGCAGAACAGGTTTTATTTTAGAGTTTTTCTGTTCTATTTTTAACCAAATCTTTTCTGCAATATTGGCTTTGCAGTCACAATGCCAGGAGCTGAGGAAGAGGAAACAGCTTGAATTGCAGATCCTTTCAGAATCCATTCAGGGCTGGGAAGGAGAGGATATAAAGACTATGGGAAATGTAATCTATATGTCCCATGTCATGGTTCAGTGCGGGGGAAGCGAGGTAAGCCCTTCAAATGGCAATAGCCCTTTTTGCTGCATGCTGAAACATTTAAAGAAATCCCAGGTCCCAAAATCTCTTCATTTCAGGCTTGACTGTGCAGGATACAGAGTAATCTGGCCTCGGTCCACCAGAGCACTAATGCAGCTGCTTAGCTTTAATCACACAAATCAATTGGGCTCCTCATGTACTTAAAGTCAAGCATGTGCTTAATTGTTCACTGGAGTCAGTCTTGAATGCTCAATGCCATGTAGGATCAAGCTCTCTAGGAGTTGCTTTTCTTGTTCAACCAGAGATTTTAGCATCATTAAACAACCAGCGTTTTTCATTACTTAGTGTGAAAAACAAAAGTTTCTTAAATCCACGTATTTGAAATGTTATATCTTTCAGCTCCTAGGCTGAAGGTTAAAGTAACTTCATATGGTGTACAGAATTGCTGTGTGCTGTTTAATAGCTGGCAAGTGCCATTCCAGAGCTGGCTGAATTTGGAAAAGTTCAAAGCAATTCCTGTATTGTAGGACTAAATGTGGTCCTTGTATACACGTCTCTCACTACCATGTGAGAGGAGTTTGCCAGTAGACTAACTAGGCATTTACTACTTATTACATGAGCAGCCCCATGACTGTGGGTGGAACTGCTCACACATTATGGTACCTGACCCAGCCAAAACTCTGCACAAGGGAGGACTTTTAGTTTGTAGTGCTTTAGCATAATTTGGGTTGCCCCGTGCGATAAACCGTGATAGGCATTCCAAACCATTGAAGCAATTCTTTTGCTGGATTATTTAGAAAAGCAAGTATATTAATATTTTGGAGCCACAGGCACGCAATGCCTGTTGCAATGACTGGAAGTTGGATAGATTTTTTTTTTACCCTTGCTTTTTAAATAAGAGAGCAAGAACTGATAGCCTCCTTCAATATGTTTATATTGCATATAATCATGCATGTGTATGGTTTGACAGATTTGACAAATATGTTATGAAAGCAACTCTTATTGGTTTTGATTGAGTATTTACTCGGAAAATGGGATGGGCATTCTTCACTGCCATCTAAATTAATGCTTAGGAGGATGCATGTGTGAGGGTTTGCAGCCTCCAAAGAATTAAAATTAGCTTTCAGATAAAAGGCTTGATTCTGGTCCCCTAAAAACCAGTAGGAGCATTACCACTGAATTCTATTACACGTGTACTGAGCCCAACGTACTCAGCCCTCTGAGGAAAGTGTCATGCAATGTTAAGTGGGACTTAAGCAAATTCTCATCTTTTCACTTCAGGAGAAAGAAGAGCGGTATTTCTTGTTGTTTTCAAATGTTCTCCTAATGTTATCTGCAAGCCCTCGGATGAGTGGGTTCATTTATCAGGTAAAGTTATTTAATTTTAAGTCATCTGTAATCAGATTCAATCCTCTTGCTTTCTGAAACCTCTCTGTTGTGGTGTTAATACCCCACAGCCAGGAAACAGAGAACTCTAGCACACTGTGCATGCCAGCATGCTAAGTACAAACATTTTTGTCCTTCAGAGTCATTAAACAGTTTCCACAAGGGTACAGGCTCTTGAGTTTAAAAAAAAAAATCTATCTTTGTTATGCTTGGATAATCCTCAGCCAGTGTTTTAGTGTATGGGCGGTGAATTCTGACAGGCTCTGGAATTTTGCACTCAAATAGAAATTTCAAACTGACTGTCAGTGATGTTAGCCATCTCCATATCAATAATGCCTGGCTAAAATAAGCTTTTAGCTGTGGACTTTCTAATAATTTCCATTATATGAGATACCTCAAACAATGCATGTACTGGCACTTGCTACATTTCTAAGTGGTTGAAGTAATTCTGTTTGGGTCCTATTCCCTTTAACTTACTGGAAACATTAAATAATTCCCAGGAAAGGAAGGATCTTGTGCTAATATCACACCCAAAGCAGACATGTACAAGAGTAGTGTAACAGAGATTACAAAGGATTTGTCATTGGTTTTGTTTTCTTAACTGAGATTTAGAATGAGATGAAGTGGACAGTTCCTACAGCAAGATGGGCAGGATGCAGTAGTCTTCCCTAAGAAGCTAATGAAATTGGTGACACTTATCTCCTTTGTAGAAGTGCTTTTGTGAGGAAAAGTGCCATGTCCTGTAAAAAGAGCCAGGTAGTATTAAGTTAGCATGGGGGTCCCCTTTGGGGCTAGACCTTTTGGTCTGGTGTGCTAAGGACAGGGACATTTACATCCATAAAACTTAAGAAGAATCTGTTCCTATTTTCTGAATCAGCCTTCAGGGATCATTGATGGCAATTCATGAGAGAGGTGGAATCAACCAGACTGATAGAACATGATTTTGGAGACACATGTAGACTCTGAATTGTTCTCAATCCCTTTTGTAGGGAAAACTGCCATTAACAGGAATGACACTCACAAAACTAGAAGAATGCGAAGGGAATGACCACGCCTTTGAAATCACAGGTGAATACATTTTTCTACATTTCCTGCTGAGGGAAAGGGGGGTGTGCAATGCTTCATTAAGTTCATTAGTGTAAGCAGCACCTGCTGCATAGTAAGTTCCCCACTGCTATTACTTGCATACATTCAGATGCTCTAAACTCTTGTCCTTATGCTACCCCAGTATCTTCTCCCAGTGCTTTCATTATCAATGTCTAAGCCCTTCGGGTGTCTTGCTGTCCTGGGTATGCATGGAAGGAATCTATTTGTTGGTTAATCTTCAATGACCAGGCTTTAGGGCTACTTCAGAGATGCATGGAGGGTACAGCCAAGGTCTGCTCGCATTGGGAGAGCCCCTAAAAATATCAAGAACCACTTACATGCAGAACCTGTGACACATGTTCAAGCCATCATGTTTCTGTGTGTGGAGTTACAGAAGTCGGGGATGAAAGAAGCCCTGAGTAATTCAGTCCAACATACAGTTGTTTCTTACTATACATTTCTTCGTGTTTTGTCCAGTCTAGCTGTAAATGTCTCGTGCTGGAGACAAGACCCCTGGACAGACCACCCCACAGCCTAATATGTCTCACTGCTGGGGACCTTTTCTTAATGTTCAGCCTAAAATTTTCTCTTTCCAAAGTATTCTTCCTTAGCCCAGCTTTGTGTGACACTCACAGTTCTCTCTCTAGCACTGGTGTTTGTAGACTGCCATCATCATCAGTTCATCAGCTCTTGCTTAGCACTTTCAGTAATTTCCCGTAGGTTCACTGTTCCAGGTTCTGATCCTTTCTGTTGCTTTTCTCTGAACTCCTTCCTGTTTGCTAATATCTTTCTGGTAACCAAGGGCCCAAAATGTAATATACCACTCCAGGTGTGGTCAAACCAGAGTTTCATAGTTTCTAGGGTCAGAAGGGACCTGAGCAGATCATCTAGTCCGACCCCCTGCCATGGCAGGAAGAGCACTGGGGTCAAATGACCCCAATAAGGTGGTCATCCAACCTCCTCTTAAAAACCCCCAGGGTGGGAGCCTGCACCACCTCACATGGAAGCTGGTTCCAGACCCTAGCCGCCCTGACCGTGAAGTAGCGCC